GCAGAGTTTATTGCTTCCGGACAGCAGCTGAGACGGAGCCCCTAGGGTGGGGTCCACAGCTACTGCCCACCCAATAAGGGGGAAAGGGTCTTTTATATAGATTCTAGGTTCACATCCCAAAGGGTGACTCATCGCTGTGTCCCCTGGTGCTAGGCCCAGTTCCTCCCACCTGTATCTCCCGGGATACTAGGCCCAGTTGACTATCAGTTTGTTATCCCTTTCAGCTAGTCCCATATCAATATCAAGCTTGGATACAAGGCTGAATTCTTTCCTTGTCAGCAAATCTTTGGTCACTCCCAACAATTATTACCCCTGTGTAGTAGGGAAATGGGACTCAGCCCCTGTGTTGATATGTTGATATATGGACACTTAAAGAGCCACAAGTTTCCTGATCATTTTAAGGGAAGACAAGAAACTCGTGGTTTGTTGATTGCCCAACCTAGTGTATATAACTAGCCCCTACCAAAGGTCATCCCTTGTATCGGGTCTGACGATCCTGCTTCAAGCAGACATGACTCAATGCTCCTGTTGGATCTTTTGGTCCATCTGCCATTCATGCATCAAAACTGCAAAAATTTATGTGTGGTAAAAACAGACTGCTATAGGGGGCCTCGTTGGTGGCCTAAGGGGTTAAATGTGCACTGTCACCACTACAGCCTGAGTTAGACACACCGCCCCCCCCCCCAAGCCCCCAACCAGGGTGTTAACCCACGTGGAGCAGCAGACCTCTCCTCGCTCCCTTAGCAGTGTGTTTCAGTAGATCAGCCTGCTCTGCTTCCCACTCTCTCTGGTGAATCCTCTCACCCCCACCCTCTGCACTTCTGGCCTGCACCCCAGTTCTACACACACACACAAAAATTACAGACTTCTGTAAACCAGTAAAATACATCAGCTCTGTTAAACACACACGCACTTGTTGATTTATACTTGCCTGTTAATTTTTTTTTAATTATAATTTTTTCCTGATCCCCTGTTTGTTCCCCCTACATTCCTCCTATAAGTGAAACCATCTGATATTTTCCTTTTTCCTTTTGGCTTATTTCATATATAATATCTTCTTGATCCAGTCATCTGTTTTTGGACATTTGGGTTGTTTCCATTGCTTACCTATTGTAAATAGTGCTGCACTAAACAGCAAGTATCATTTTGAATTAATGTTTTTGTGTGCTTTGGGTAGATTCCTAGGAGTGGAATTGGTCCAGTTTTAGTAATCTGAGGAACCTCCACACAGCTTTCCATAGTGGTTGGGCTAGTTTGCATTCCCACCAGCAGGGTAGGAGGGTTCCTGTTCTCCACATTCTTGCCAACATTTGGTGTTGCTTTTTTTTTTTTTTTTTTTTGATATGTGCCTCACTGGTGGAACATGGTATCTCATAGTAAATCAGAAACATTCTGCAGGGGAGGGACAAGCACAAGGGACTTTGGTGATGATGCATGGGTGAACTGGTGGTGGGAATTCTATGGAGACTACACCTGAGAGGAGAAAGCATGCTTTGTACAAAAAGGAAGATGATGTAAAATATATGTAAGTTTTTTTTTTAAAGAACCCAAAAATACCACTTTTTAATTTTTGCTAATGCATAAATATTTCTGCTTTTTACCATGCCTAAGAAATAGCATGATATTAACATTGCCTCATATATGCAGATGATTGAGTTATGATAATAGGTTAACCCACTAATAAGTGATTTTGCCAGCTTTGGCCCTTGCAGAATGTAAGACCCTTGAAAAGCCAGGAGGCTTCTCAGTATGAAGCTTTGCCAGTAATCTGCTCTGTGCCTACATTGGGCCAGCTCCCTTCCACCAAGTGAGCAATTGGACAAGAGAATGTCTTAAGGTCTATCACTGCCCACTCTCTGATTCTAGATTTTCCCACCTCGTGTTTTATCTTGAGTTCCTTTAGAATAACTGGAGATTCCAAGGACGTCCCCTTTTTTCACATTCTTGTCTCATTGTGGGGAAGTTAGTTCACTTGCTTAACCTTGTCCTGCATATTTTCCAGTTAATCAGGATGTGTTAAGAACAACAGGACTCCAAACTAAGAGCCAGAATCAGAGTGGGTTAGTCACTGACTGCAAGACAAGGCCTTACACTTAATTCTGACAGTTAGGATGTTGCCTCTCAGCAAGTCATACAACTTTGTCTTACTTTTAGAAAGTGAGCTGGGGTGTAATCAATTCACCATTTTAACTGATTTAAGGAGAAAATCCCAGAAGATACTTGATTTCTCAATTGGTCAATTTGTCTTCCTTGAACGTTTAGCCTGAGCCAAGCTAGTAAGAAAACAGAGGAATCTTCAACTGAGGAGAGGGTTTCCATAGCCCCGCTTCCCTCAGAGCCCTGTGGGGTGCTGCTTTCTGTGGTCACTCAGATGAATACTGGGACACCACTTCTAAGGCCACATTAAACATGCACAAGAACTGAACTGCTGGCGTGTGAGTTTGTGGGAATTTTTTTAATGTGGGAATTTTTTTTTCCCACAAAATACAGCTTTCCATAAAAAGCTGCAATGTTCTGGATAAGCATAGGGAGCCTAGCTGCTGTTTGGTTTTACTGCCCCCAAGCTGACAGCAGGGCTGTGCAGAGCAGGGTACCACTGCTCAGCAAAATTCTTTAGCTGGTATGACTTGCAGCAAGTGAGTGACCCCATGGGGATGCCATCTTCAAGTGACTGGGCATATATTTTTACTTCTCTTTTAATGAGCTACCATTATCTTACACATAGAGGATTTCGCCCCTCACGTGTGGTCACCACAGCTCCCCACGACAGTCCACTGTGCCCTCTCTCCCTGCCCTTGGCATACATTTGAAAACAATACCTACCCTAGTTTAGTCACATGTCTCAGTACCAGTGATGAGGAGAAGGAAATCTGTGCTCCGTTGGGTCATGTCAGGGTATTTCTGCAGTGTATCAGTATGTAGCAATTTCAATATTCTGTTAATTTTTTTTTTCTTCAATCCCTCCCACGTGTGCTTTTGACTGGAATATGCCTGACATTCCTTAAGAAATGAGGGGCTTTGTTTACTATGGTGATGGCACATGGGTGACTTGGTGATGGGGAACCCATGGGGATTACAATTGAGATGAAAAAAAATGTACAAAATCATGTAAAAATAAACTATAAAAAAAATACTGAAGGAACATTTGTTACCCAAATAAATTAGTGCATACACATCACTGTTAGATTGTTAACCAACAATTCTCAGGATGTTGGATGCTCATGTTAGTAATGTTTAGAAAAGTCTGAAGTACAAACAGATTTTTCTTTTACTCAAGTGACAAGAACGATATCAAGGGGCAATTCAAAATTGTAAAAAGGTTGGAATTTTAAGTTAAATATATTTGATTCAGATTCAGTTATATACAGTAAACATTACAATAGCTAAAAAAAAATTAGGGGCTTTGTTTACTTAATGTATAAATGTTGGCATTCTTATTTGTGTCAAGGTGGATAACAACACAGCATTGGTTGACAAGCTGAAGCGGTTCCAACAGGAGAATGAGGAATTAAAGGCTCGGATGGACAAGCACATGGCAATTTCAAGGTAAACCGAAGTGGCCCTCGTTGTCCTGGGGCTCCTCCCTTCCTCCAACATGGAATATTCCTTTCTTGCCACCCTTGACTCACATAGCTCCCGGAAACACATTTGGCGGGGCTAGCTACAGGGTACTAATTACTATCCAGAAAGCATGACTGCAGTGCTTTCGGCTCCACCCCAGGGCCGCTGGCTCGTTGACACTAGAATACATTCAGAGAAAGAACATCACAGGACCAAATAGGAAACAGCCCCAAGCATAAGTCAGTCAGACGTGCTGAGTGTGTGGCAGTGGCACCTAGCGTGCTCTGAAATGCCCCCCGAGGTGAGTTGCATCTTTGATTCAAGCTCACGCTTCCAGAGGTTCTCTGCCAGCCAGCACCGTGCCCAGTAGTTCTGGGCAGGACTCGCATTTATTACAAAAGGATAGTTTTTGTTGGACTCAACACTTTTAAAATGATAATAATAATTATTTTTTTTACATTACTTAACTTAAGATGTACATGGTACCTGACTCTTTCTCCTCTTTAAGGCAACTCTCCACTGAGCAGGCTGTTCTGCAGGAGTCCTTGGAGAAGGAGTCGAAAGTCAACAAGCGCCTCTCCATGGAGAACGAGGAGCTGCTGTGGAAGCTGCACAATGGGGACTTGTGCAGCCCCAAGAGGTCCCCCACATCCTCCGCCACCCCTTTCCAGTCACCAAGGAATTCTGGCTCCTTCCCCAGCCCCAGCGTTTCACCCAGATGACCTTTTCGCAAGCTGGGAGACTGTCTGAAAGCATTTTACAGGTCCGCAGGACTGACCCGCGTTGGAGCAAGAGCTATATTAGCTGTTGTGTAGTCACAACAATAGAACTGGAAAGTCACCACCCCAGAATTGGCTCCTTGTAAGACTGGAACTCTGGAGGGAGACTTTTGACTTGGTCCAAGAGACTCCTCCCCAAAAGATCTCCAATTTGATCTCCACAGACGCTGTTGCACAAAGCACTTAAAGAACGAGAGCATCTTGCTCGTTGCCTTTTTCACCTAAGCATAAGGGGAAAAACTCTCAGGGGCCTATTAAGATAAAGATTTATAACCTTTATAATGTTCTTGACCGCAGACACCTTCTTGTGATTTATTTTGGTCTGGCTGGGGATGTGTGAATGAAATGGATGTAACAGAGCCTCGTGTCTGCTGCTGCCTCCTTTGCTGTATAGTAAGAGTCAAAAGCTGATTCTGTCTGGATGTGCACTAATCAAATAAGTCAGCGTATGCAGCTCAGCAAAAGCCATAGAGAGCAATAGTTGCTTTACTGATGATTCCCACCCACCAACTCCACTATGCCCTCTGACCAGGGAGGAGAGGGAATGAGCGGAAAAGCTTGGATGAATCCACGTCTGGACATTCTCTGTAGCCTTCAGAGTCACTTCCTGGCAGTGTTTATGTTTAGCCATGCATTGGAAAGTAGCTCGTTTTTGTTTTGTTTTGTTTTGTTTCTGTAGATTTTTTTACATGTCCATGTAAACCGAGTATTATACTAAGAGCCATCGTCTCAGGCAATAAGCAAGTATAGAACCCAAATTTTTCCACAAATCTGTATAAAAAAGGGTAGTACCGGTGGATTTATTTTTTGCCTTATTTTACCTTGATCTAAGTTGTCTTCATGAATTTAAACTGTCTTCTCTCCCATCATCCCCATCTTTTTTTCCCCTCTTCCTTTCCAGAACCACAAAAGCAAGCCTTCTACCTCCTATACCTATTTTTCTCTGGGACAAGGCTTTTCCAGAACCAACTCATCTTCAAGGTGCTGAAACCACTTTCTAAATCAACTAATGCCTGGATCTGATAGTACAAAATTTGGAAAAACCCTGGAGAGCATGAAGAATGAGAAAGACATTGGCTAGCAGAACTAAGATGAGATTCAGTGCTTGTTGGTAAATAGGAGCACCTTGACCAGACCAATGATGCAGTGTTTAATAGGGAAAAAAAACAAAAAAAGTCTGGGCAGGTAACACTAACTTTCCGTGTATTCTTTTAAGAATTCTGCCCTTGGGAAGGTAGCTGAATGGTGTGTGTGTGTGGGGGGGGGGGAACAACTAGAAAATGTACTACCTTGTACAGCTCTCCTCCAAGTTGCATTAAAATCTCTTTTCAAAATTTAGTTGCTCTTCCAATGCTAATACTTTGGGGGAGGTGGAAGGAAAACAACTGTGGCTTTGTCTCTCTCTCCCTGCATGTGTCAACATTGTCATGTCAGTATTTACTAACCTGAGTTGCTGGCGTTTGGTGACTTTATAAGTAACCCCTGTAGTAAGACGCTAAAGCGGGGTATTTGAGCCATCATGTTCACCTACACTCAGTGTGAGTTGATATTCACGATGCATGTGGATTGGCAAATTCTTTAACCGCCAATAGTTGTCTCATATACAACCTTCTTTGTTTGCTTCTGATAAATGGAAATGTAAGTTCACTGCCACCTCCTCATCCTTCCAAGTCACTCTCAGTGTCATCAGCCTAAGTTGGGTTGGCCATTCACCCCTGTGCATGTAAATCTGTGCTGTTCCCTCCTGCCTCCATGCCACTTAGGTGTCTGGGAAAATCAATCATACACAATTTAAATGAGAGAAGATAAGCAAAACAGATCTTTGATTTTTTTTCCCCTCAAACCAAATGTTTCATATAGGATGCAAAATGTTGGCACATCAGAATATGAATGTGTAAGCAGCTGTAGTTGTGCTCAGTTTGTAGTGACTAAGTGTGTATTTTATTTACTTTGATCAAATAAACAATGCTGGAATATTCAATAGAAGTATTGTGAACCCTAGCATTCTTCACTCTTCAAAACTTTGTCCAGCTTATAGCCCTTCTTACAGCACTGGAGTTGATATCACCTCTCCTGGTAAGTTACTTTCCACAAGTTTCAAATGTAACTACAAACTTGGTCATGGGCTGAAATTTGGCTCATAGAGCTGGACTTAGAGGTAAGATTTTCTGTAAGTTCAAAACTATGAGTAATTGAGAAATTTTGACTGGTTTCACTTTTTGCAGATTATGTAAGAAAATTAGAACTGCTGTGGTCTAATTGTTGACAAAGGTATACAAGTCTAAGCAAAGTTGAATCTTTGATCTTGACATCTATTTTACATTTTACATTAAACTTGAAGACTCATGCTTTGGTTCTTTCTGAACAGACTGTTAAAGAATTAGTACTGAGTTCAGCTTTTTTTTAAAAAGTTTTTTTTTTCTTGTATCACTAGATGTTTAAGTCACACTAGCTTTAAAATTGCAGTTTAAAGATTACTACTGAGAAAAAAAAATGATAGGCCTATTTTCAAGTCGTGAGCTGCTGATCATAGATAAGTAGTTGAGTTCTTTTACTGCTATTTTAGTTTCTCATCGAATTGTGGTTTTATCAAGTAGGATATGATTGATGCAGACATTGCTGGCAAGATGTCCTGGGTGTATATCCTGCCGAGTTGAGAAAGAACGTAACCCCTTTTAACATTTTACAAAAACTTGCACATTTAATAGAAATGATTAAAGTTGTTGGCAGATGCTTTTAGTTTAAAACTAGAAGCACATGTGTAGGTAAGCAATAAAAATACATGCTTTCTATTATTAGACTGATGACTTCCTTTAGTTGGATGTCTGGGTCTGACTCAAAGGCAGGCATTGGGGGTTGGCCCACTAGATCAGCCTCTGGCAAAGTACTAGTCAAAAGACCCCCAGAGCTGGCTGTTTACACAAATGGGCTTTCCACCAGTCCTTATACTTCATTTCCCAAGTCAGGAAAAGTCAACAGTGGTAGCTACTGTAGTCTGTCCTTGGGGATTCTGAGCCGTGCAAATGTAATATCCTGCATCGATGGTCTCAGCGTCTTCCACTGTGATGACACTCTGCGAGATCCTCGTGGTGTGCCCGAGCCCTCTGTGGATCAGCCTCCAGGTGTCCTGGATTGTCACGGGCCTCTCATCCTGTTGAAGGACACCCACCCAGGCTGAAACGGTGACGACAGGCCACTGTGAACAGCTCCCCACTAACCCAGCGCCGGTGAGTGTTGCTTTCCGAGTGCAAAACACATGCTTCTCGGAGACCGTTTGTTAGCCCAGCTCATGGGAGCTTTTACCCTGTGTGACATTGAGGCTGCTGCTGTTCCAAGTGGTGTTTTAGATTTCATTATGCTGTTTGGCTCTCTCTTTATGCCCTTTTGTTTGGTAAGTTTCTATTTAGTAAGTTTCTATTTGGTATAAAGTTAATTCTTTTGGAACTCAAAGATGGAAAACTGGTATTAGACACACATTTTCATCCCTCCCTGAGTGCTTCCTAATAACAGCATGTATGACAAAAAGGAGTCTGTAGAGCTCCCTGGGTAAAAGAATAAGAGCTTGTTCAGATTGGGGTGGATTAGTCAAATGTGCCATGACTCCAGGGAAAGAAAAGTTCAACGATGGATTATATGATCTCGATGACGTACTGCCCAATTAATAGAAAGTGAGAGGGTCACTTAAGATGTAGCAAGCTCTTTTTCTGGACTAGGTTAGTATTATTGCAATATTTATATAATTACTAAATTTTAATTTCTGCTTGTACAAAATTAGCAACACAAAACCTCTTTAACGAGGCTCATTGTCTGCGGAACATGACAACACCTTTGAAAAAACAAGTACCTAGAACCAGGATGCTGGGAATTACCATTCTCTAGGGAGAGCTGTTTTCCACCAAGCACAGCCCTTAGCCAGAAGTGTATTGGCTACTGAGTATGTCTCAAATCTCTTCTGGCAACAAAGGGATTATTCCATGTTAGTAGCAAAGCTGTTTATTTTAATGAGCAGGACACGAATAGAGGCTCAAAATGCAGTAGCTGCTTTTATGGAAAGTCTATTTTAGAATGATCTCTGGCCTCACAGCACCTTCTTGACAGGGCCAGACTGCCAGGTGTCTGTGTGCAGCATACAGAGGGCACAGCGTGTATGGAAGAGAAGTGAAGGTGCCCAGGAAACTGGCCTCCAGCTGCTCCAGAATTACAGTTCAAATTGGGGCAGTGAGGAAGAGGGAGGCCTCCTGCTTCCCCTTTCTGGCCTCTCTATTTGATGATTAAGCAAAATCAATTATGGTACTGTGATTTTTTTAAGTCATTTGTAACTGTCCTGTGGTGTCTTAAAAAAGACAAGCAAGTTCTGGCTCCCTAGCAGAGGCCACAGCTTTCTTGCAGTTAATTCTCCTTTGTGATGCAGACCATGACTTAGGCTGGCTTCCTGCTGGGCAGTGCTTACCTTCTGCCCTGGGTAGATCCACCGGAACTCCACCTCTACATCTGGATCCCCCAGGACAATGCAGAGGACACGGATGTCATCCCCACCTTCCACTTTGTTGGAGGATGCCAAGATGGTCGTGGATGGAGGGCCACTGGGAACTGGAAGTGCGCAGAGGGAAAGTGGGGTGAGTCCAGGAGGCTGGCATGAGGAGCCTACACAGCTAGTCCTTGACCTGGACAGCTACGTCACAGCGCACCTCCCGGTTAGCCCCAGACCTACTCAGCCCACCCTTGTTGGTTTACTTTGAAGCCTCCCCTCTCTTCCTTCGTGGTCTAGATTGGGTAAAAATGCCAGCTGTTAGGCACAGAATTAGGGGTGGAGGATAGAAATCTGCCATGATGCCACGTGAAGGTAATAAAGCTGTGGGTGGGAGAAGACAGCTAGAGTGAGCACACCCAGTGTGGTGGGATGAACAGGCAGGTGTGTTGCTGTAAAAAGTGTGATATGAGAGGTCCGCCGTAAGGGCATGAGTCTATTTGCAGAGCTTTTATTTCACAGCACTTGAGAAGTAAGTTGCAATATGGCCGCACAGGTAAGTAATATTTGGCAGCCGTGAGTGAGGTGATGTGCTAGGGGCCAGAACTAGAGTAGCAAATCAGACATTCCAGTCTTTGTGCCCTCTGCTAGTGGAAAAGGCAAACTGTAAACCAGTCATTACATGGTTAATTTTATAATTGAGTTGTGCTTAGAGCTATGAGGAGAAGCCCAGAGTGCTCCGGAAGTTCAGAGACAGGAAGGGCTTCTTTGAGGAAGCAGTGTTTAAACTAAGATCTGGAGTGGGGGAGGGCCTACCCCCTTGGGTGGGAATGGCAGTGAGCAGAGTCCGCAGGGTGAGGTGGCAGGAGGCCAGGGCAGGCCACAGCCTGGGAAGGACAGCAGAGGCTGATCGTGTGAGACTTCTCAGGTCACATGAAGGAGTATGACCCTAGGGAAATCACTGAATGATTATAACTCGAGTTGTAATGAACTACAGTGTGGGAAATGGAGGGAAAAATGATAGACTTGGGGGAGCCCAATGGGAAAGGAAGCCACATCAGTCCAAGGAAGAGATAATGATAGTTTGAACTCTGTGCAATGAGGATGGAGAGAATTTGTAAGTGATTTAAAGGAAGAAGAAGAAAAAAATGGAGACAAGAATATCAGGTTTATTTCCAGGCTTAATTTTTTGCAGCAGATAACCAGAGAGCCCTGACTAGGGCAAAGAAAGCTGAAGAAGCGAGCTCAGGGAAGATCGGAAGCACCCCAGCACAGGTGTATGCATTAAGAGTAAAGCTGTGAGTTACTAGTGAATGGGTATAGAAGGACACAGTTGAGTGAGGACAGGAGCTTCTGTGCTGTACTTAACACCCTGGCCAAGCTGTGTCGGGGGCCGCAGGGGAAAAAGCCAGATGGAAGCATGCTGAGGAGAGGGGTGGGGGAGACAGGACCTCGCCACAAAGAAGGTGGGGAGTGGATGTGAGCATCAGCGTGGAAGGGGGCAGGGATACTGGGCCATCGGTCTCAAGTACAGGACTGTGACTGGAGTCTGACTTGGTGGCTCCGAGGTTAGTGGGTTTTTACTCATTGAAAGGAACAAGACAGTCAGTGAACCAGGCCAGTGGAGTGACTAGAAATATTACTAAGCTGGTCTAGCCTTGAGCCACAAGTCTTACAAGAACAGAGGATGGGGATGGACAGAAGATGTTGGTCATCCCCAGAGGAAATCTAAGAGCCTCTTTGTTGTAACCAAAACCCGAGTGTTTGGGAATGTTAGAGAATTGCTCAGTAACAGGCATTGATGGAAGGATTTGGAAAGATGGAGTCAAGGGGTGTTGGGTTTGGATCATGAGTAAGGAAGTGGAACATTCGTAAATAGTGGAAAGCAGTACCTGAAGTGGCTTAGCAGAAGCAACTGAAATCTGAGGGAGGTCTGGTAGGGAAGAGGCTTACCTTCCACGTAGAGCAGCTGGTACTTGATGGAAATCTGAGATGTGCCCTCAGCTTCTGCTTTGCAGTAGACCACTCCCTGGTGGTCAGAATGAGGTTGCAGGTACACAAAGCCTCTCTTCATGTCATAAACAATGTCTGTTCCATTGGTTGGGATTTCCTTGGCTGGGAACTCCCTGTGGAGTGTGACTTTGGCTGACAGGACAGTGACTCGACAAGGAACCACAGCCTGCCTGTCTGGGTTCAAGTAGACAATGTCAAAGTAACTGGGAGAAGGTACAAAGAGTTCTCCTTTCTCTGCAAAGGGAAAGACACAAGGTAAGAGAACTTTAAGGACTCAACTCGGGGCACAAAGATGAGAGGACTGATTTCTGTCTTTATGAACAGAATAGAGCTATTTTTACATGTTTTTCCTCTTTTAATGGAAGGCTTTTACTCCACATTTCCTTAAAGAAAACAAAGCAGGTATTTCTTTAGCGCAAGCCAGGCCCAGAGATTATCCCATTGAGAAAGCAGGAAAGGAGACTGTATTCCTTAACAGCAACTTTAAAACCTTAAGTTATTTGCTGTCTGTAGAGAAATTAGCCCAATAGTCTGTGCTCAGTACCTTCTGTGTGGAGACATTTGCCAACACAGCAGAGTTTATGTGAGGCAGGCTACTGAGGGAGCTGGTGGTCTCACTCAACCCAGAAGGCCACATTACTGGCCAGGCCAAGGAAAAAGGACCCAAGGTGGGAGTGCGGGTCTCAGGGGTTGAGCAGGGTACACTCAGTCTGATTCTTACTCCATTTCCTCTGAAATTACTCTATTTTTGAAGCTGAAGATGATGGCTCTTCCATCTTAGAGAAATGAGGACTGGCTTGCCCACACTTTCCTCAGGACAGTCACAGGACTCGATTGGGTTTCTGTGGTTTTGTTATTGGCACAGCACCCTTCAATGCTTTGTTTTCTGGCTCATCCTGCAAAGGGATAGTGCAGTAACTGCTGAGAGAAATCACACCCCAGCATTTGTTAAACTGCTTCCTTTGTTTTTGGTGCAACATTCCTGAAACAAATCTGTTCTGGGCTTCCTTTTTCACTAACATTTATGCCACAGTTTTATGATATTCTAAGTTGGGGACAAAATCCCTGAACCCATCCAATGTCTTCATAGAGCAAGAGATTTTGGAGCACATTGACCAATGCAGAGGTTTCTCCCTGGTTCCAAGTTCAAAAGAAGCAGGTTGTAGATCAACAAGTCTACCTGCAGGTGATTTGTGCCACTTTGCGATGACTTGACTTTCAGGCTTGGGCTGCTGGTGCCTTTGTCAGTGTTGTGCCTGAGTCACCCTAAGTTAATGATGTGCCCTGGGGTAGGTACATCATTGAGACTTTCTGTACTTCAACAGCACCATTTGTAAAGAGAAAAATCTGGAGGTAACTTTTTTAGGAAAAAACATTTATGGAAATTATGATTCTGCGAGTTAGAAGCAGTTTTTGTTAATAAGGTTTTGTGGAAGAAGCAGAACCAATAAGCCCAGCCTGTGGAATAAGTAGCCCAGCTCCATTTCAGAGCACAGAAGTGTGGTATGGCTTCTTACATCACATACTTTTAAAGAAGGGACCACCAATTGCTTGAAGAAGCAAAAGATGTAATCAGTAGATTCCATCTACTAAAAGTATAAAGCTTACTTTGCAGATGTTCCCTGCAAGTGTTTTATCTATTCATGTGATGCCAAATACTATTTTAAGAAAACTAAACACATGGAAATGTTCATTCACAAAACATTGAAGTTAATAGGCTATAAGCTAAAATCCAAATTATTAAAAACTCCATGGTTAGAAAAAGTATTAATCCATGATTTACTACACAAGAGAACTGGAGCTTCTTGCTGGGAGGAAACTCTCCCGTTGGTAACGTTCTCCTTGACCCGGGTGGCGGTTAATGTGTATGTTCACTTGAGGATAATTTATTGAGCTGTTTATGATTTCTCTTTCTCTGTATATGTTATATACTTCAACATAAATTTAGAAAAAAGGCACTCCTCAGTACTTCCTTGTGTTTGGCATAACTTGCTTCTTTTATTTATGCCTAAGAATTGAAATGGCATTCAGTAACAGTGCTGCCTTTCATATTTGTATACAAAGAGGTAGGCTTCCTCTGTAATGATCACCAAAACGGCAAGCCATAAAAATTTTCATGACAGCTTATATAGAAATTTCTGTCCTTTCCCTAATGCTGATGTTTGATAGTGAGAGCTTAGAAAATCCATCTGAATAAATACTAACAATCACGTGGTGCAATTGCCATATTGAAAATTATAACAATTAACAGTCAAAAAGAATCATTGTTTTCAGTCAACCCCACAGCATGCAAACAGCACCACGTGCCAGCCCTCTCTGTGGGTACCGGAACCAGGGCCAGCAGTGGGAGCTCAGCTTCCGTAACAGCCCAGCTTGGTTTCCAAACCCACTCATGCTTGCAAAGACAAACTGCTAAATCATAGGCTGAAATCCAGCCGGTCTCTCGGTATTGAGGGATGAAAAATGATACAACATATTAGGTCATATTCCTTTTTTGATCCAGGTATATTGAAAGCTCAATTTTATTTTTTTTTAATCTGCCTTTGAGTCACAAGAAGGCTTAGGGAGGCCTGTGCCCAGAGCCCATAAGCCTAGTACGATATTTCTGATCAATGTATCCATTGGAAAACAAACACACTAGTGCTAATCTTGCTGTGTTTCCAATTGCAGAATGAAGATTCTTTGCCATCAGTCCTTGTCCACAGTAACAGACTTACTTGGCCACTGTTGTTCCCAGTGTGAGGGGAACATGTATGCAGCTCATTCAAAACTAGAATCAGGAATTGCCTATGAACAACAGTTAACACCTCTCCTGAAAAAGCCAGCTGTGTCCAATCTATCCGTTACCTTGTCCTAGAAGTGGATGAGCACAGTAAGAACACAGGATTCTAGCTCAATAATGGTTGACTTTCTGCTTGGCCACTACACATCATGGGACATCTGAGTCACCTGCCCTGTTCATTCGCCACAGCAACACCATTCCTTCTAATGCAGTCAACAGGAGCTTGTACTTAGGAAATGCGATGCATTTCCTAGCGCTTCCAGAGCTACTGCTACACAGGCTTGTTGGGAAGACAGATGAGATTTTGCAAAGGAGTCACTAATGCCCAGGACGTAAGAACATCTGGATCGTAGACCTAAGTTACCGTATGTCTGAAAGATAAGTGGATCATGACATACATGAGTTTCAGGGGCACCCCTGCCAGCAAGGGAGCTATTCCAGCTTCACCTGAAATGCGCTGGACTGGGGGGGGGGAGCATTTGTGAGATTTCTGAAATCTGTTCCTGACCTCTGAATCTTGGAGAATATGATCCCCAACTTAAGGGAGCTCTGAGCTGGAAGAGAGAGACCTGGGAAAGTACTCTGCAATGCCTGTTTCAAGAGTAAGTTTCACCTGCCAAACACGTCTGGCCCTGTAGAGGAGAAGCGCCCTCCACTCCAACCTGCATGTCGTCACACACATCACTTAGGCTCAGGGACTGAGACTGAGCCTTAGGAATCTGATTGCAAAATTTCAGCTTGCAGTACTAGACACAAATGTGGGGTGTCCTTCTCATAGGCTCCCTACAACTACGGCGCTTCCAGAAAGGAGAGCAGCCTGGGCTGTGAGACTGGCGACTGGGTCCCAGGAAGCGCTTTCGCTGTGGTGAGCAGCCTCCACCTCTCTGGCCATGGGACGCAGCACCGAGAAACTGATTTCTGTAAGCTTTAAACTCTAAAGAGGCTAGAAGACTGGACTTCAGGCACAGACCTGGGAGCCAACAAGTCCAAACCACAGTCAAGTCTCTTATTTGTAGTCTAAACTTGAAAAGTTTTGAAGATATTTAATAAGTTTTTCATTGGAAAAAAGAAAACATATTTGCACTTACCCTGAAGAGCTGCTGGGAGCTGTGCAAGGACTGAAATTGATGTAAAGCATCGGGTCCACAGAGGGAGCTAAACAGTGAGCGAATTATTCGATACTCAGCACGAAGTGGGGACATTAATCTGAGCTAAGTCCAGACTTCTCAAAGACAACAACCAACGCACTAAGCATCTTACCTGTAAAAAAGATGTAGGTGGAGCCCTTGTGGGCCTCATCCCTCCTGCAGACGTAGCCATCACAGAGCTGTGCCCAGCAGCTGAATTCACCAGTGTCAGCTGCTGTGGAGTTGACCAGGGTGAGCTGGCTGTAGCGTGCATGCTGCTTCACGCTGTCAGGGAGAAAGGAGAGCACGCAGCCATTACTCTCTGCAACCCCCAACCCCTGCAAGGACCCTCTCACATGGCTCACACTAATGAAAGTGTGGGTGGAGGTGGGGCATAGCCGGAAGAAAAGACTTTCCTCAAAGGAAATAATAAATGACAATTATGTTTCCCAGAGAGGAAATTCTCTTCAACGTCAGCGCTAGGGCTTCCTTAGGTAAAATAAAGTCTCCGCCATGGTGCAGTCAACACAAGTGAAAGCTCAAACACTACCTGGTGTGCATCCTCTGATCAGCAGGGCAAGTCTCTGAATGTAAGCTTCGGCATTATTAAGTTAGAAACTTTGCTTTTGGGGGGTGGGGGGATACACTGGCTGCTGAGCTCCAAGGACACTGCCCTCACCTAGGAGAGGACGGGGTGTTCTCCTTTCTCCCACGTCACCCTGGGATTGACTTCCTCATGTGTTTTCCCCTTGCTGCATGGTGCATGTTTAAGCACTAGTATTAATTAGCCCCATATAATTGTGTGGAACTGTAACAGGAATCCAGATGCATCATCCTCGGGACAGATGGGTCCCTGTGGTAAGGAGACTCACCCTGTGCAGATGCCTGAATAAATGGTTTGAACCTGAGAATGCCTTGTAGCTATCTGTTTCAGCCCTTGGAGCTCACACACTGTTCTAATGTAGTGAAGGTGCTGTCGTGGGTCCCAGAAACACCGGGGCGGGGTCCACTTTGAAGCAAGACACAGCAGTGTCTTGGCGGTTGCCTCCAAACTGCCTGGTCTGGCACACCACTGAGGAGCTGCTTGGCCCACCAGCCTGCCAAGTGTTGCCTCTATCCACCTACACTGTCATCTGCTGCCTTTAAACAACAGATCTCCCCCTTCAGGAAGCCTCTAATTAGAATCGACTCAGGAATCTCCCCACTTTCTCCTGGTGATGTAATTGATTCCCTTGTTCTCTAACCTCCAGACTCCCCCCCATTTCCTGTTATTTTAGACTAGAGAGCAGGAACCCTGCCATATCTGCCTTATATTCCCTAACCAACAAATCTGTGCAGGCTTCATAGTAAGGATTCTCTCCCAACATGAGGATTGAAAGCACATTGACCACACTATTGCAACTAGGAAGAACCTCAAAATAGGCATCCAGGCCCCAGCGTTGCAGATAGTCTTGAGCAGAAGTTATTATCCCTGAGACCCACACCTGGTGAACAGCTGAATAACTCTTCCTTAAGATAATTAAGTAGGTACTGAGTAGCCACTCATTAGATGAGAATTTCATGCCATGCCTGGGGCATCGCATTATCCCAATTATCTCTTAATTACATGTAATAAAAGATTAGTCACAGTGACTGAACACTACTACAAGGAATATACACCCACCGTGGGGAAGAGCACAACACAGTACAGTAGACCTCAAGGATATTACAGTCTGGTCGAGACCTCGTAACAATAGGAATTCTGAAGGATTTAGCTCTGTGGGTTGAAGAGGTTGGAGGCAGCTTTGAGGAGGAGGTGACAAAAGCTGGACTTTGAAAGGTGAGGGGGTGGACAAGGACTCAGGGGGCTAAGAGGCAGTGAGCACTTTTGCTCAGGAAGTGTCAACCCCACAGGGCTGTTTGTTCCATCAAGGCTGGGCCAGTGGGTGGAGGGCCCAGCAGTCCAGGGATTTAACTCAGCTCAAGAGACAGAGTGCTGAGTCAAGTGGCGTATGGTGGGAACAGTGAGGGAGACACTGCACTCACCACTCAGCAGGGACGACCCTGATTTTAAGAGGTGGGACATGATGAGCCCACCTGAGCTAGAGCGGAAGCGGGCGAGGCTGAGCCGCTTCTCCTTGAGCAGGACTGGATGCTGGCCGTAGAGGCAAATTCAAGGACTATTTTCTTGAGGACAATTAATGACTGGGGGTAAGCAAAGAAAGACATCAATAATGGCCATTCAATTGATGTTTCGGAAGAATGGGGTTTTAACTGAAATGGGTTGAGGTAAACAAAATAATTCACTATTTGGGATCACACGTGAGTCATTGCAGTACAGGTGGCCTATGAGAAACTGGAAATACAGACCTAGCGCAGAACTAAAACAGCAGGATCTGTATTTGAGGGCATAGGAAGCCAAACGTTAACAGCAAAGACCAAATCTAGAGCCAAACTTGGGAGTCAGGGCAGAAGGAAGAGGTGAAGGGAAAGGATGCACAAAGGAGAAAGATTGGAGACATTGTGGCTCAGAAGCCTCAGATGCCTGTAAGATTCATGACCCGCCCCTCCCCCCACAAACCCTCACACACTTCTCCTTTGTCAGAATGTTTCTCACAGACACCAAAAGAAAAATTTGAATTGTGAGGGCATTGGATTCCAGCAAACCAAACAGAATCAGAGAGAAAATGAATGTGGTTCTTACCACGTGACATACATCCACCTCCCTGTAGAACTCAGAACCTGGGATCCAAATGCGTGATAAGTGTTTTGAGAGCCTTCTCTGGACCCAGCACTTACTTGCACTGGAGCAACGGAAAGTGCAAGATTCCATGCCCACCTCAAAGCAGGCACAGAGAAACTGGGTACTTGGGAATAACCCTGCCACCACGAGGAAATCTGCATGCTGTATCTTTAGCAGGATTGGGGGTGGAAGGAAGGAAATGTGCTGGAAAACATTTCTGGATTTTCCCACCCCCTCTCATAAGCAAATAATGTAAAACAGGAAACTAATGATTTAGCAGGATTACAGTTTAAATGCCTGGATTAAAAATGTCCATTTCTACTAATGGCCTCCTGTCAGGGCAGCAGGCTACCAGCTGGCTGGAATAGGACCTCAGGCCTCAGCGCGGGTGTCGGAGGGGCAACAGATTCTTCACCATGAAATGGAGGCAAGAATTGAAGGAGCTCTGCAGAGACCTGCCTAGAGCTGCTTCACCCAGGACCCTTCCCTTCTCTTGTAACCACTTGACAAAATGCCCAGGAATAAAGAAAGCAGAGGATGTGAAGCTTGCGTGGAGCAAAAAGACCTGCCACAAAGTGCAAAATGGAAAGGGATCATTAAGGGGATTTGCCTTAAGTGGGTGCAGCTTTGAACACAGCAGAGGCCATGGGTTCACCTCTGAAACAGCACTTCAGACCTCTCCGTGGACTCAGTCACTGACAACGCGGGGTTACAAAGTGTGTGTTCAAAATTTAGGTTTACCCTGCCCTATACGCATGGTCCTTACAAGGTCAGAAAGTAACTAGCACGTGCTGGTGAGGACGCAGAGAAAACGGGCCCCATCCGTGGTACGAATGTCGACGGTCCAGCCCCTGTGGAAGGAGCTCTGAGGTGTCTCAAAAGTTTGAAACCAGATCTACCACACTGTCCACAACTTCTACACCTAGGTATTTATCCAAGTGTGCAAAAACACTAATTGGAAGGGATATGCATTCCTGCGTTCATACCACACTAGTTACATTGAGTGTAAAAAAAATGTTAGAGCCCTAAGCTAGAAGAGTAGATTGGGAAGATGTGTTACAGCTACACAATGGGATACTAGTCAGCTAGAAAACAAAACAAAACCATGGAAAACACTTGTCACTTGGGACAACATGCATGGGACTGGAGAGGATTATGACAAGCGAATAAATCAGAAGGAGAAAAACACCAGATGACTCTACTCACGTGCTGCAAAAACAAAGAAACAGACAAAACAACCCAAAACCCTTGAAATCTGACCACAGAATTGAGGTTACCAGGGAGCGGTGGGGGGTGGAGGGTGGCAAAGGGGGCCGAGTTGGCGCAGAAACAGCAGGTAATGGTGGAAGACTTAGGGGCTCTGGTGGTGGATGTGTTGTGACATACGTTTACAGGACCTACACCCCTAAAGCACTGTTATAAATCAATGTTGCCTCAATGAACTATAAAAACTATTAAAATGACAAGCACTAAGATGAACCTGAAAAATGGCTAGGGGTAAGTGTTTTCTGTTAGGTTCACGCTAATTTTTCCAACACAGCCCCTGCCCATCCTCGCAGGCCAGAGGTTTCCTGCATAAGGTCCCATCTTCCTTCTTATGGGCTACCTGTTAGAGGAGGACACAGGGGAGGGGGGCTGACAACTCCCACAGTTAGGGACCACTGCACATCTCACCTGGGGCAGTAATGGGGAGTCCATGCTCTAGGCCTGCAACAGTGGAGGGAGGGGTTGGGGAAGGAGAGTGGAGGTTGGGGGGTAGGTGCGGTGAGGGAGGGGGTGCTGAGCAACAAGATAATGAGTCATGGGTCCCATAAAAAATTAATGAATGCAAATTAAGTCGGAGGTTTAAGGGTGGGAAGGAGACACACAAAGTGGTTTGTTTCTCAAGGGTTTCCAGCTCACAAGCTTCAGGGCTGAGTCTTGGGAGAAGGGAAGGATTTCAACACATGAAGAAGGAGACAAAAGGCAGGTTTGTTGCACAATGACGAGATATTTGGAACAAAGCGGGCTGGGGGCTGTTGTGTGAAATGTAAGATCATGCACTTTGCAGCCACAATGAAGGAATTCCAGTCTGACTTCTACCATGACCTTCAGACTCCTTAGCTAGAAGCCATTCCTGGCTGGACCTACCGCTTCACTGTAGTAACAACAGTAGCTAGCACTCACAGAATACTGGTCATTATACAACGTTCTTCAGATAAGTTCAAGTCTTAGAACAGCGCCTGCCACAGACTAGTGCACCCTACATTTTGGATGTTACAGGGTCAGTTTTGTCCCAACTTCTGTGACCGGCCTCAAGAAAGGAAGGCAGGAGGCAGAAAGGCTGAGCAAGCGGAGTTTAGTGCTCCTGGACAGCTGAGACGGAGCCCCTTGAGTGAGGTCCGCGACTGCCAGCCCTATAGGGGGGAAGGGTCTCTTCTATAGATTCTAAACTCGGATTCCAAAGGGGTGACTCATTGCTGTGTCCCTTGATGTCAGGCCCAGTTTGTTATCACCTTCTTCTAGTCCCATCCCGGATGCAAGGCCCAGTTTATTACGGCCTTATCACCCTTGGATCCAAGGC